ATAGTGTGGTAGATATGTGGGGGCGTGTTAGAATGAGCCGTTTTAGGGGGGCGTGGCAGAGTCTTAACTTTGATAAAGAATATCTCTTTGGTTTTGAGACTTTAGTCTTTGCAACTTCAGGGATCTTATCTATGCACAATCAGCTTGTAACACTCCAAAGAGAAAGGAAAACTTGAAATCGCATCATATGACCCCTTTAAGCGAAGCGTCTTCTCATAGGATAAGAATAATTATGAGACACCGATGCGTCATCGAAGTACTATAGTCCTTTGCCACATCAAAAACTATGACGTCAACACTATATAGATTTTAAACCCGGAAGACGAAAATAGTGCAAAAAGCTTAAAATGAACCAGTTTTCTCCAACAATTAAAATTAACGGATGCTAACATAACATTGTCTTCTATGATGTGCAACACAAACACCTCAGCTAAAATCACAGAAAAAGTAGTTTGGTGTTTCATAACCCTTTAAGAGACCAGTAAATCCCAAACTAAACATAGCCAAAGTACACATTTGATCAGCCTTTTTATTTTACATTGCAGAACCAGAAACTAGTGCTTTATCATACTTTTGTCCTGTTTTAACATGATTACCTATTCACCAGTTGTTGTTCAATCAGAGCTTTATGAACTGATCTCTTGGTTTATGTTTTTCTTTTTAAATATTTTTAATATACTATCATTATTATTTATTATCGGCACCTTATTTTTTTGGTAATCGATATTGTTTTCTTTTTCTATTCTCATCAGTGCTTTTGTCATGTGTATTAATGCTTTGGCAATACTTGGCAATTGAAACATGCCAATAAAGACTTTTTTTGAACTTTTGAAGTTGAACTTTTCACGCTTTTATTCAGGTATTACAGGTCCAGCATTTATCAAATGAACACACTGTTTGCTTGGATAGCTTGCTTTAATTCAACACAACAGCAGCACCATCTGTGAACGCACCTCAAAAACAGCAAGTGGTTACACAGGCACTTACCCCACAACCATACTTCCTACGGTACACCATTGCTCTTATAAAAAGCTAGCCTGAGGGAGAGAGGGAGGTGGTACTGGGATTTAGCTTTTTCAGGGAAAGCCCCATGTGATGACTCAGTGAATCCAGGCTGCATCGCTGACCACCCACATTCACACATCGTTACGCCAACATGAACATGGATAATGTAGATCTGACTGAACTCAATGCTTTCTGACAGAACTGCTGTGAGAACAGCTCTCTGCTCTGGTGTTGGTCAAAAGCAATGCATTAACCTTTTCTGTTTGAGGTCTAAGAGACCCTAAGGCCATTTTAATTGCTCAGAAAACATACTTAACATTTAAGAATTGGATTGACACAAACTATCCTAATCTTATGAGAACTAATCATAAACCAAATGAATAAGTTTCATATTTGGAATGTTACATTACTTACTTTTAGACTTTCATAGAACCCAGTTAAACATGAACACATGTTAGGGATGTGCCAACATCACAAAATCATAAATATTTCATGCATCTCTAATAAATACAACAATTTTTCACATGCTAACGTTCACTCATTGGTGATGTATAGCACCATAAGAGCCCATCTGCTGTTTATTTGTTTCACTGTATTATTATATGTGTCAAACTGACCACAGACAGAAACCACAAATACTGTATTATATAACAGTCATATTACAAACCTACCTACTACAACAGAAAAGTTAAATCTTAATAATATCTACTTTAGTGGGTCAGAGGTTGTGTTATTTTAGTGTGATTGAGATACTATTAGAGTTTTTATTAATATTTTGAATTATTTTTTATATTCTACATTTTTTAATTAATTTATAGTTTTTGTAATTTGTATTAGGTTTTAAATGTCTATTTTTTAAATATATGTATCGTTTTTTAATGAATTTTTTATTCAGTTTTAGTTATTTTAGTACATTAAGTTACAGTAAATTAATTTAAAATGTTATTTTATTTCAGTTAATTATTATTTTATTTAAAGTAAGAAATTTAGTTTGAAGTTTTGGTTTTAGTTAACTATAATAACCCTGGTCAGAGGAACATATTAAAAGAATTTAAAGGAAAAATAAAGGTAAATTGCTAAATTACTATTATTTCCATACATACAGCACTGGGGTCTCTTAAAACCCAATATTAACAACAAGCAATCAAAAGAACATGAGGGTTAACAGAAGACTGCAGAGTCAACTGTGCTAATATTAACTGTCAAGCAAAAGAGAAGTAAAATAGTTTGGGAAGTAACAGACAAATTATATCAAACCCAACTGGGAACCCTAGGCGTGATACCTCAGTAATTCTGCTTAGGTGCAGCACACATTCAAAACAATTATTAGTTGAAGAGACCTCATAAACTTCTCATACTCTTGTTTTCTTTCTTTCTCAGCTTGTTTGTGAGTGTTGACATGATTTGCAGGGATTTCCAGTCACAGCAGAGAGCTGCCAAAAGCTTGTGGTGTAATTAAGATTTGTCCTTAGGATTTGCCCCCTGAGAAGCAAAGAACAGATTTGCTCCTTGTTGGAAATATCTCACCATCTATAGGGCATCTGTGCCAACAGGTAATGTTATGGAAAGTGGAGCTTTTGGGCATGTAGGCAACAAAAGCCAAAAGGAAATAAATAAATAAAACAAAAACATAACATTGGTAACATCAGATAACATTAACTTTTCAAAGTATTATCAAGACAAAAAAAAAAAAAAAAGTTTACTTGGGAAGGAAAATACGTATAAACTTTTTTTCATATTGGATTTTTTTTATGTATGATATTTTACAGTAGATTCAAACATTTCAGAAGCTAAATGGCCAATGGCAAAGTTAGTGCTAATTTTTAGAACTTTAAAATGACCATTTGAATGACTTAAATTAACTGTAATTTGTATTTTTTTTACTTAAAATTTTAAAATTAAAATTATACAAATATATTTTTTATTATTAACATTCTATTTTTTACTTTAAATCGAGACAAAAATGTTGAATCATCAGAAATTACCTGCTCTTTTTCTTCATCTTCATAAATAAATCCAGAAGTCAGTTACCCATCATAATTTTGCAATCCAAATTTTCACAGTGGCAGATTCTGTTCTGTCGAAAGCCTATGGACTTTAGAGGCCAAGCATGCATGCTTGTGGCCTTGTTAACTGAAGTTGAATGTGTTAGGACTTCAGGATTAATCCCTTCTGAAAGACTCACGGACTAAAAAAAAAAAAAAAAAGTTGGGCCCCCCCATTTTAAAATTAAAATTATACAAATATATTTTTTATTATTAACATTCTATTTTTTACTTTAAATCGAGACAAAAATGTTGAATCATCAGAAATTACCTGCTCTTTTTCTTCATCTTCATAAATAAATCCAGAAGTCAGTTACCCATCATAATTTTGCAATCCAAATTTTCACAGTGGCAGATTCTGTTCTGTCGAAAGCCTATGGACTTTAGAGGCCAAGCATGCATGCTTGTGGCCTTGTTAACTGAAGTTGAATGTGTTAGGACTTCAGGATTAATCCCTTCTGAAAGACTCACGGACTAAAAAAAAAAAAAAAAGTTGGGACGCCCCTTTCAAATCCTGTTCTGCTAACCCAATTTGACACCCCTACAATAACAAATTCCCAACAGTGGCATCCTGATGGGAACATCCATGTTTCCCTTTCTCACAATCATACACACACTGTGACACATTCAAACACACTTTTCTTTAGCATTGTTGCCCAGAAAATCTTGATTATTCTGATTGAGGCTATTGTCTGTCCCATCACCCCAAGGCCTGTCAGAATCAGGTCACACTTCTGTGCATCAGCAAAATCCTCACAATCACCTCACACAACACCAACAACAAATTACACGGGGGAGGATCAAAGTATCGCTCGGTCGAACAGAGATTAACAATGGCCACCACCTTCTTTTTCTGACATATGGTAATTATAACAGCCCTGCCGAACTTACATAACACCCCCACTGTATTTACTGAAATAACGCACACACAAACACACCAGCACAGTGCTGATACACCAACTGTCACCTGTGTGAAAAGATGTCAGTCTGAGCAAAGCAGTCAGAGACAGATGGAATCCTCTAAGCTGTCCATCATGTTTCTCCTCCCGGTTGAGGAGCTCAAAGACTGATGGGACACAAGCCTGTGGTGAGGGTGAGACCTCAGATATGTGCTGTATGAGCTATTTTTAGCAGAGCACATATAAAATGCTAATTTGAGGTAAAATTGTCACTTTTATTTTACCACATCAATTTATGGGCCGCAACAATATATTTACTTAATACTAATGTTTTTTTTTTGTACATTAATATAATTTATTTGTATAGCACTTTTTATACATGCAGCTCAAAGTGTTTCACAGGTCAGAATAATTTTTTTAAACAAAATAAATGAAATATTATTGTGAAGATGAGCAAATACAGTTTGACTAAACAATATATACAAATATAAATAATAATAAACATATAATAAAATGCAATATATAATATTCACATATTAATTATAATATACATTATTTATATATTTATTTATTGTAAATAAATATACAATAAACAAAATATTAAATACTTAAATTTTATTAAAATAATACTAACTTCAATTGAAAGAACCACAGAGCCATAATTCTTCATGGGAATCAATCTATGAATTAATGACAAATTTTTTTTTTTTTTTTTTTTTTTTAACATAAAAATGCACGTCTCCTTTAAGTGATCCAAACTGTTTTACTCTACTATTTCCTAAAAAGCTGACAACATTGGTAACGCCTGACTCCAGTATCCCCCCATTCCCTGCCCAGACCCCTACTGAGGTGTTGGGATCTTAATAAAGGCACTCCACTGTGAGTTCATTTACTGTAGATTAGAGCTTCATTTCCCCACTGTTTAGCCTAATTAAAACCTCTGCAGATTAGTTAAAGACTGTTTATACAGGGGCATTGCAGGATAGAGTATTGGCAACATCTATAACATCACAGAAGAGCTCTCCATGGGTATATGAGGGAGCAGTGCTTTTGGACAGGGAATAAAGAGTGCTACTCAGGTTAAGCAGTGTAAGATTAATAATTTAATTTGATGATAATTGGCATCACAGCGTTCCCCTGTGAACACGAGCTATATTTCCAGGTAAAGTTCAACATGCCAGTGATCCTGGGTAGCACTGTTAAGCTCCTTTGCAAAAATATATGGCACACTGGCAAGCTACATATGCATCATGGATTAACCAATATAGTAAATAACTATATACTTATGAGAGTGCTACTCAGGTTAAGCAGTGTAAGATTAATAATTTAATTTGATGATAATTGGCATCACAGCGTTCCCCTTGTGAACACGAGCTATATTTCCAGGTAAAGTTCAACATGCCAGTGATCCTGGGTAGCACTGTTAAGCTCCTTTGCAAAAATATATGGCACACTGGCAAGCTACATATGCATCATGGATTAACCAATATAGTAAATAACTGAGTAATCACTGTTCATAAAATATGAACTAATCTAGAAATACTATCATTCGAAATGTTTGGGTCAGTAAAATGTTTTTAATGTTTTTGAAAACTCACCAAAGCTGCACTTAATTTATCAAAATTAAAATTAAAACAGTAATATTTGGAAATATTATTACAATTTCTAAAACTGCTTTCTGTTTTAATATATTTTAACATTTTATTCCTGCAATAGTAAAGCTGAATTTTCAGCATCATTACTTCAGTCTTCAGTGTCACATGGTCCTTCAGAAAACATTCTAATATGCTGATTTGGTGCTCAAGAAACATTTGTTATTATCATCAATGTTGAAAACAGTTGTGCTGCTTAATTTTTTTGTGGAAACATTGTAAATTTTTTTTTAGGATTCTTTGGTGAATAGAAAGTTCAAAAGTACAGCATTTATTCGAAATATAAATCTTCTGTAACACTGTAAATGTCTGCACTGTCACTTACAATTTAATGCATAACTGCTGGATAAAAGTTTTAATTTTTTAAATTACTAAAACAATCTTACTGACCCCAAACTATTAAACAGTAGTGTATG